GAGAAAATGGAAACAAGAAATATACTCATACTAATATCAGGAAGAGACAATTAAAATTTCGATGGCACATAATAAGGAAAGCGTGATTGGAAAATTTGATACTCACAGGACAGATTGAAGGCAAGAGGGACAGAGGAAGGCAATGCATAACCTACTTACTGAGTAAATGCATTGCAGAACAAGGTTTAGGAGAGAAAAAATATTAAGAGCTACAAATGAGAGGAAGTTCTGGAGAGCCATGATCTCCTACGACCTGAAGGGACACGGCATACAGAGGAAGAAGTATATCTCTTTTAATCATGAACCATACATATGTGGTTCAAGTATATTAATTTTGTTTTGTTTTTGAGAAGGTAGCCAATAGTCAGTTTTTTTTTTTATTTATATGGAGAACGAATATTTACATGAATATGATCTCTTGCCTAAAGTTACATTGCTGTAAAATTCGTCTCTTTTTTTTTTCTTAAGACGATCTTCAAATTTGAAAGAGGCTTTAACTTTACTTCTGACAATACTGGTACAAAACATTGATACTTCTCTCACTGTACTTTTTTAAACTGTGTTACTTAAATATTTCCATTAATGACACAAAATTTAGTCCAGACATCACGTCCAGGTAGTTCAACATTCCCTAAAATGTACTGTTGAGACATCATTTTTAATGTATTTTTGCTGAAAGTACACGTTTCTCTTTGTCATGTGATGTTTACTTATAATTTTTCAGTCAATGTTCTTGATATTCGCCATCGTTTCCTTCTGTTTACATATGCAAGAACTATTCAAATATTATCTTACCAGTGAATCCACTTATTTTTACCCTTTTACTTTTTTCGCATATAACGTTTTGTGACATTCTTAAAACCATTTTTTTCTTTTCTTTTCAATTTGCCAATATTTCCAATTCCTTTATTGTTTTGTTTGTTTTTGTCTACTTGAACTTTTCTCAGCAATTTCCAATGTTGTATGACTTCAGTCAATAGCTTTGCAATATCTAGTCTCTCTTTTGAGAATACACATTTCTAAAAAAGTTTCTTAAGCAAGTTCTATATACCCGGAATTAAAAAGTAAATATGAGTAAAAATACACAAAAAAAAAAAAATTCCCCTGCATGATCTGAAGATTGCTTTCAAGTATGAAGCAAACTCGGTATTGACCTCAGTACCCACTCTTATACAAACAAACAAACAAACACACACACACACACACACACACATATATATATATATATATATATATACTAGGGGATGGAAAACTCTTACACTACACGAACAGCCTGCGGTCTATTGTCTGCTTCGTCTGTGGCATTTATTTGCACCGACTGAGTGTATCAATAGTTCCGAAAAATGTGGATGGTTCAGCACAAGCCCTCACCACATTAATCAAATCATTTGTGTGGTTTTTCTGGCGGTTTACCTTGATCCGTTCATTCTTATCCACACAGTTCACTTGCAAGGTTCGCTGGCGAGAGAGTGAAGGCGACGGGGTCAGGTAAAGGATATTACTAGAAGGCTATATCTAGAGCACGACAAAGTGACAGACCGATGGGTTGTTTGCGTGACATCTGTGGAGTTAACTTTCAAGATAGGACATCTAACATAGACCTGTTTAACAGGCGTAATATTGGCGGAATCGAGACTTTTCTCATGCAGTCATAGTTGCGATGGATTGGTCATGTCTGATGACAGGATACCCAAGATCCTAATGCACGGCCAGTTAGATCAGGGCTACAGGAATGTAGGACGCCCATATCTAAGATACAAAAACAAACAGAAGAGCAACTTGAGTATATACCTCATAACACCGACGAGTACTTAGACTTGGAGCGTGTTTTAGTGGACACAGCAGTTTTCAATCTGTTAGTTTGAATCGTCTTCAAGAAACAGGAGCAAGATCTAAAAGATCAGCCAATCTAAGAGTAATCGCATCCCACAATCCTCACTCTTGCTCCAAATGCGACCTCCTTTATAAATCATTTGCGGGTCTTAAGTGCCACTTAAAATTATCGCACAAAATTGCATAACTGAATCAATTGATTAAGTTTTCAGATCCTCTTACGTCGAAATCGACGGGAGAGTCCATTATCATATATATATATATATATATATATATATATACTTTTCCTAGCATTTCTTTTTTATATATATATATATATATATATATATATATATATATATATATATATATATATATATATATATATATATATATATGAAAATTTCTCAGAATTAACCTGTAAAAAAAGACAATATTTATAAATGTAAAAATAATAGAACGGTAATATTAGCCAACGCGTTTTGTCCAATGTGGACTTCTTCAAGGCAAAAACGAAATGAAGTTATTAAAACAAAGTAACTACTAATAACAAAACAAAATGCCCTTAGCAACTGGAAGAATTTAGAAAACGCTATTATATTCATATTGCCAAGTAAAAATTACTTCAAGTACTGTCTCGTTTGGAAATATTGATTTTATTGTTGTGTTGAAGGATTCAACTATTTTTTTTAATTTCTTGATACAGTTGTGTACGTTTTATTGTGAAAGTACTAATTCTGTTAGGAAAGGTAAAATAGGAAAAATGTATATTAGTATATTACAGTAAAAATATGCAGAAATCGCTAAACAATTACTGTCGTTTTTCAACACGTAACAATGCGCCTCCTCAGGCGATTGTAAATAAATGGCAAGTGAAAGATTAATTTGGTTTCAAAAGCAAAATAGTTCCTCATTTTTTTGAAAAAATATATTTGAGCCCTCTTTTAAATTAAATGTTACGAATGTTGAAGTGTACGATGTTCGTTCTCACCGTACCTCTCTCTCTCTCTCTCTCTCTCTCTCTCTCTCTCTCTCTATATATATATATATATATATATATATATATATATATATATATATATATAATGATGTAACGATTCTCGATTTCCTTTATAGGATTTTGCATCCACAAATACAGTATTACAAAAAGTAAATAATTAATGCTAACTTGATGTTCACATAGAATATTAATCATCTAAATATATAGTGTAAGTTTAACAACATCGGTTGATTAAATTCAAGCTTATTTTGCCAAGAAAACGACTTACATAACAAAATCCCATTTGGAAAGGATAAAATCGGATTTTGATACACACACACACACACACACACACACGCATATATATATATATATATATATATATATATATATATATATATATATATTATACACCGCCAAGAAAAAACAGATTTTAATATCCTGGAATTTACAATGTTGGAGATATGTATTTGAAAACTAGTACGTTTTTTTTTTATGTATGTAATACGATCTTTATCAGTACTTTTTATTTTTTTTATCTTATAATATCAATATAAGGTGTTAACACACAGGTACAATATATATGCACGTCTCTCTCTCTCTCTCTCCCTCCCTCCCTCTCTCTCTCTCCCTATGTGTGTGTGTGTGTGTGTGTGCCTCTGTATGCGTCTGTGTTTAGGTAAATGTTTAGGAGATCATGATTGGTCAAAAGAAAGTCCAACATTGAACACAGAACACGCGCATGTTTTTTTTTGTTTTTTTTTCCTCCATTATGATAGAGCGCACAGGACATTGAAAGCAAAACAGTCTTTGTTTTATACTTAACATTCATAAGTTAAAAGCTTTGTGTGTTATGTATTGTTTCTGCTTTATTCAATAATACTTATGTTTGATATGTGTTTCGACTCTTCTTATTCTTTTTCCCATAATGTCCGCTAACACCAACATCATATCAAGAGGCAAGGGATTAAATGCTATTAGAGAATATGATAAAAAATATGCTATTAAGGAGAGAAAACGATAAAAGAACAATAATTAAGACGATAGAAGATAACGCTTGCTATTGCATTCAAATGTTTGATGATCAAAGTGTCACTGGAAAACCAGAAGTCGGTAGAAAGTTTCACAAGCAGGAAATGTGAAAGAAGAGATTGGTAGGATAGAAATTCCGGTAATGTCTAGCCAAATTTTACCGTTTCAACTCCAAATAAAAGCTATACCTAAAGGTTTAGAATACATTTTCAAATTTTCTGATGCTTTTATTTTAGTTTTAATTGTAAGCAAATAGATTAACTTTAATATTTCCAAGAAGCAAAATATTTTACCCTATTTCAAAGGAAATTTAAATTGATTCGAATGATTCAGGAGAGAAAATCGCTAAAATCGGCCATATTGACCAATCTGTCAACACAATATGATTCCTTTTAAAAAAAAAAACCTTTCAAATATAGAATATAATTCTCTGAAATTTTATTTGAGGAAAATTAACTGATTTAAAGTTCAGTTAATCTGAATTAAAACATATCATTTAAAATAACGCGGGAAAATCATTTTTTAACACGTAGATGTGTGTTTTTGTGAGGTGTTGAAAGATTTGTTGATGACCTGATGTTCGCGTGATTTTTGCAAAGGACGAGGCGGAATACTTGTAGTAACATTACATGACGAATGCAACGGAAACGCCTTTTGAGATAAACCTTTTATTGAATTATAGTTATTGCCTAGCTTGCTGTTAATTTTCAGTACTTTAACTTTAATATAGTTACCACTCTTACTTTTTGATAAATGGACGCTCGTATTCACAAAAAAATGGCTCGTTTATACACACACATAAAAACAACAAAATTATTTTTAAAATACTGGAGGTCGCTAAATTGTAGTAGGCTTTTCCATGTATTATTAGTAAATATATTTTTTACTTAATAATAATATAACCTGACCGATATATATTAATACAGAATTTTACATGATTTAAAAGTTTATCAATTATTCAAATTAAAATTTTAAAAAAAGAAGATTTTTGCAAGAATTCATTATTCATTTTAAAAAGTTTTATTAAGATAATAGCGTTCATAATTTATTCATAAAAACAATTAAAAGCATTTATAATTTTAAAGCAGGTCTTAGTTTCACTGCATTTTTTATGCTATTGTTCAGAGCAGATTTTTTGTATGTGACGAAAAATATTTGATAATTTAAATTTTCCTAGGACTTGCCCTTATCTATATAATACGCTTTCCGCTTTTCTCTTTCGACCTCTTTATTTCTTTCCACCTCTCTCGTTCGACCCCTCTCTCATAACACCTTTCTCTTTCCACCCTCTTTCTTTCCACCTCTCTCGTTCGACCCCTCTCTCATTCGATCCCTCTCTCTTTCGATCCCTCTCTCTTAACACATTTCTCTTTCCACCCCTCTTTCTTTCTACCTCTCTCGTTCGACCCCTCTCTCATTCGATCCCTCTCTCTTTCGATCCCTCTCTCTTAACACCTTTCTCTTTCCACCCCTCTTTCTTTCTACCTCTCTCGTTCGACCCCTTTCTCATTCGACCCCTCTCTCTTTCGATCCTTCCACCTTTCTCTTTCGATCCCTCTTTCTTTCCATCTCTCCTTTTTAACCCCTCTCTCTTTCTACCTCTCGGTGAGTGCGTGGTGCGTTTGTCTGGCGCATAAAGATTTAAGTTAATCTGATTTAAGTGAATAAGATTTTAAAATAGGAGATGTTTATACAGTAAGTCTTTATTTTAACTTCTTTAAAATAAACAAGTTTTTAATTAGAATATTTATAAGTTAAAGACAGACACAAATATCGTTTGGCATATTAAAAAGTATTTTAAGTTAATCTGATTTTAAAAATATTTTTAAGTTAATCTGATTTAAAAATATTTTAAGTGAATAAGATTTAAAAATACGATTTGTTTATACAGTAAGTATTTTTATTTCAACCTTCTTCAAACAGACAATTTTTTTTTAATGTTGAAATCAACTTCAGTGTTCTATAATCTAAACCGTCAGTGATCCAATGGGGAGTCTAGTAAATACTATAAAATTTAATCGCTGCAAAGAAAAATTCCTCGAAATAAGATGGAATTAAATGTGAGAAAACAAATGTAAAAAACAATATGTTTAGCAAGATTTTCTAAAAGTAAATTGTTTCACAAAGAATGGCCTTCCTCTATGATTGTGCCTGAAAGTTTCCTTAACATCCGACAATTACCCGAATTTTGCAAGAATTTCCAGATCAATGTGTCATTTACCGCAAAAAATGCTCAAATGTCTTTTACTAATTTATTGTTCCCCGTTGACAACATAGAAACAAAATCTTTAAGGAAAATTTCGACGGGATTTGATTTAAAAAAAAAAGAAAGATTAATAATTTAATCTAAAAAGTATTTTAAAAATAATTTTGACATCAAAAGAGCCTTTATTTACATTATTCGGACTACTGTAGTTAAGGCAGTGGAGAACTTTCAGAGGGAAAATTAACAGGAGATAACTGATAACTGACATTCATCAAACATGGCACGTGGAACTAGAACAGTTTACCCCGGTGAGCGAAATAAAGGGTTCAGTTCGAAATTCCAACCACCTGAAGAAGGCCGGAGCGTACAATGGCCGAAACGTTGTGATAAATGTGGCGACAAAGATGAGGACAATAGTCTGAATAATATAAATAATGTACATAATACCTCATCTCAGAAATATGGACAGACTCAAAAGAGCCTTTAATCATTCATCTTAATAACAAATATTTTGACGATAAAATTTTGTTTTTCTTTTATTAAGTTTTGTGCGTTTTTTCATCATGTATGCTAATTTTTAGCGAATTTTTGAATGTACACACGTTATCAAGAACTGCTTGTTATTAGATGTTTATATAGTATTGGTTGATGCTCAAATAAGAACCAGAATCTCTTGTATTTGTGTTTTGAGTGATTACCAGAGATAATACCCGAAAAGACTGCGGCCACAACAAGATAGAGCTAAATTGAATAAAACAGGATAATTACTTTCTGCGTACACAAAATATTGGAATGATTTTCCCAATTAATTGATAAGAAAAAAGAACAAATTTCTTTCGAAGATTCCACCCTCTCCTGACCCTTGTAGCTCTTAATAAATTAAGAGATTTGAGGGACAGAAAAGGGTGCAATCTTCGACAATTTTTTTTTGTTATTTCTCCCAGGCCCTGTTCTACTATCCATTTCTTCAAGCCCATTATGTATATCCTCTGTCCCACTTTCATATATCCGTACTGTGAGTATCAGTTTTTCCAAGCCCTCCATCCTCATTACGCGTCCCAGGAATTTCAGCTGCCTCTTCCTGATGTTAAGTATAAATTTTCCTCGTGTTTCCTCTTCAAAACCTCGTCGTTGCTCGCATGTTCGGCCTATGGTATAATTAGCATCCTTCTGTAGACCCACATTTCTGTCACTCTGAGTGCCTTCTTCATCTTTAAGGATATTGTCCAGCATTCGTTTCCATACAGGCGGACAGATATCACACAACAGTTTGTCTAGTCAGCCATGAAAAGAAAGAGACATGATCGCTTAATGTGTATCACGTATAGCATGTAAATGGCTGATTGTCAGTGTAACTATCTAATGAGCCCTCTCATGACGAAATTGTCCTTGTCTTGACCACATTATATAATTTGACGTATTTCAATCTAAAGGTGCTATTATAATTATTGCATTATTATTAAGATCATTATTACAATGCTATACATAAAGGTAAAACCTAATTGAATCGATACCAAAAGACAAAGTTCTGTCGAACTTGCATGAGTTTACAAAAAAACAAAAAAAAAACCCAAAAACAAAAAAAAAAAAAACAAACAAACAAAAAAAAGCGTCACAAACTGATATGTTAGTTTAGAGACAATATAGAAAAGTTGTAAAAGAAATGACATCGTTTTCTACCATTGACTTTAGTTTTCCTCCTCCAGAATAGCATATTGTTGTAGAGTAGTTTTCACAGTGGAGGTTTGTATTTCACTAAGTCGGTCCTAAAAGGGTTCGACGTACAAAACGTTAAGAACTTGAAATGAGAGTTAATGACGCAGCAATCTAGTTGTGGTGGTTAATACTTTAATGTCCGACATCGACTGACTCACTCAACTCCCCTGAGCGATATTCAGTCACCCCTCCCCCACGAGGGCATCCTGTGGCACAAGGCCGGTTTAACGTGGGATCTCCGAGCCCATGGGCTCGGCCAAAAATATGCCCATTAAACCCGTATAAACGGGTTCATGGTCGGTTTACCTCCCCGAAAGAGAATCCGCCTTTCGGCGTTGCCTACTTCGGGTTCCTCCCCGCCCGAAAGCAGAGAGTTCAACCGATCACCCGGTCGTCTGACTTCAGACTGAATTCAGCCCGGCCCACTGATCCCCCTGGCGACTGCTACTACTACTACTTATTATATCTGGGAGAGTCTATTTACAATAGAATATGTATGTTCTAGTATAACACATATACTCCGTTTAAAAAAAAATGGTCATATTTGTGTTAAGTAACCGGAAAAAGGAAGAAAAGATTAAATGCACATTTGAAATTGACAATCTTAGTGCTAACTGACAGACATATACGTCGCGGCAGAAATACCTCCCACACTTTAAATTGCCATTTGTCTGGTGATAGTGAACTTAGGCAAGTGGCAATAGTGTCTTCATCTAGTTAATGTCGTATTATTTATTTCTTGGATACCATCAGTTTCCATTATGACTTGTAATGGTGCACACCGTGTGTTTGGTTTTGAATGTTTTTGTTGTTGCTGTTGTTGTTATTTTAAGACTGAGAAATCTGTAATTGCAATACAGACAGTAGCTCGTGTTCATATTACGCCGGAATGATACTGTTCCTGATCAAAACTCGATACTGCTATGGTTTGAAAATTTCAACTCCACAAATTCAGCGCTTAAAAGAAAGCCACCTGGTAGTTCTCGAACTCTGACCTTTAAACAATGTTCAGGTTCCAGAAATCGTATAGACCAATCTATGGAGAATAAAGGCTACAATTTTGAGGATGACATTTTAAAAACCAAATGAATAAAAACTGTAGAATTTTGTTTACACAACGTTGATTTTTTTTATATTGTCCTTTTGTCAACCTTTAAAATATGAGTGGCCTTTTTTTCTGTCGCACCCTGTATAACCCAATAAGTGACTAAAATTCGTATACTGAGAGAAATTGGTCGTCATGGTATTATTTAATTTTCGTGAATGTCTAATAGATCTGACCTGATTGAAGTCCCCGTAGTCGTTAACCATCATAACACACATGACCTAAATTAAATCAAGGTCATTAATAAGCTCATTTTGCTATTACAAACGTTTCATACAGACTGTGTAAAGTGATTATATCCAAGGCCTTTAAATTGTTTCCATTCGTAATTTCCAATCGCCTGCCCCCCACCCCGTTCGCATCCTCTCTCCTTATTTCCTATTCTCCCTTCCGGTGGCGGAGACTGAGATAGCTGTGAATGCTCAGCCTAGACCTGAAGAGTAGCGTGGGTGGTGGACGCGGCTGGACAAGTCGGGCCTTCCAGACAGCACCTTCTCATGTTGACGGTTGGACTCGAAAGTCTTGGTTTCCCCTCGGATTGTCCTAGGCTAGGTAGGCTGACTTGCAGCAACGTTTTCCCAAGTCTCAGGGTCGATGTTAGCAACTGCTCCTTGAAGTGTCGTTTTGGGCCTCCGTGTAGCCTCTTGTCGCTAACTTGATATACAATTAGTCATTAACATCATGCACTATCATAACATAAAGTCTATGGTACTGTGGTACAGTCGGTCATCCCTGTCTTTGATTGATTGGTTGTTTCGTTTTCTACGGCTTATCAACACTTCGCAGGTTATTTAAAGCCAGAAAATAGTTTTAGATTGTAAGAATAGTTTTTATTTCTTTTTTTTTTCTTCGATAATAATGGTTTAATGATACGATTCTTAGAATCAACGCATAAATGGGGTAGAGGAAAGATGGATTCATAGTTTTCTCTATTTGTGCGTAAATAAATATAACGAGCCCAACTGGAATTGGAACTCGGCTCTCTGATTAACAATTACGAGCCAATATCGATTACACCAACCTCGCATCCAAACTTACAGTACCTGGTATTTTCAAGCAGTCAACTATCTAGATAAAGACTAGGTTCGACGTTGCTTAACTTCAGTTATTGTCCGGGAACCAATGTTTTAACAGAATTCACCCAAAATATGTGTAGCTAGAATTAAGTAAATAACACGGACCGTTAACTTTTAAGTATATTTGACACATACATACATACACACACGCACACACACACACCAGCACGTATGCGTGTGTTTGTATGCATAATATGGAAATAAACTGTTAAAACATATCTTAAGTCCGAGATCATTAACGTAATCATCTAAATCATAAGTACTTCTATGTGTTGCATCGACCATTCATCAGTGTAAAAATCTTTCTTTCTTCTATTTCACTTTCTTCCTATCTAGTCCTGGGAATGACGCTAAACGACATCCGGCAGCAATATCTCTGATTGGGAGATTAGAGGTTTTGAGAAGCACCTTTTAACTGCTGTTGTTCCCAGGTTCATCCTGACCCGGGTTCGTAGCAACTGTTAGGTTCCCAGCTATGGAAAAAATAGTGAAACCCTAAACC